GGGGCGGGGCGGGGCAGGGCAGTTTGGTGCGATTGCCACGCACAGTCCGCACAGTACAGTGTTGGGGTTGGTCGCAGCCAGAGCACCTTCTCCCGCCACTCCTTGACGTCCGGTCCCGCCCATGAGGCCCGCTTTTACTACAGCTGTGACTGGAGCTCTTGAGCTCCCCCTTCTGCGTGCGGCCTTACACGCCCCCGCCCATGCGCACTTTTGCATTTTATTTTTACTCTTTGAACGCGGCGACAGAGCACCGAGCCCTTTCCCCCACTCTGCCTAGTTTTTTCATTAATCAAAATTTGTGTTTGACGCGAGCTATATATCGCTCCAGATTTTACAAAACAAACAAAAAACAGCAAATTCTGACTTTTTATCAATTTTTTCAATATTTGACTGGCACTTTGGGGGACTTGGTAATGTGGTGCCCTGTTGACCCCGCGCGCATGATGCGCCGGATGGTCATCAAGAGGCTCCTGCCCAGCCGGAGTGCCATCAACCTGTGAGTCAGCCATCAACTGCGTCATTCTTTTTTAAAGTGTTGGAGTACTTTTTAAAAGGATTTTCATTTGGACTTTTGATTTTGAATGGCAGTGTTTAGTAGACCATGATAAAAACATTCCTACAGTCTACAAAAGTAAAATTGTTTGGGCAACTCAATGTTAAAGTATCCAAAAAGTACGTATATCATATTATGCAACCGTGAATTCCGTGGGCGTGAAACGAGTACCCTACCTACACCTACCGAATAAAATGTCGTAAACTTGTGTTCGTCCGACTCTCCCATAAATAGAGATCAGTGTGATGACACTGTACCGCGACCAGCGTGTCGGCCCCTGGAGACCGAGTGTGTGTGTGTGTGTGTGTGTGTGTGTGTGTGTGTGTGTGTGTGTGTGTGTGTGTGTGTGTGTGTGTGTGCTAAACTTTGTTTCGTGCTTGTCCAGGGCGGTGCTGGTTCTGCTGCTGGTCGCGGTGGTGGCGCTGGCTGCCGCCGGCAGCGGCCACAAGGAGGGCAAGGGCCACCACAAGGGCAAGAAGGAAGTCAAGGAGGCCAGGACCCTGGAGGCCAAGAGACCCGACGCCAAGGAGGCCAAGAAGTGCCATGGAAAGTGAGTAGCGTAGCTGTGGGTGGG